GGAGTAAAACGCGCATGCGCAGTGCCTTTGTTTTCATACGCACATGGCCGATTGTTGAGTGAAACAGATGAACCAGAATTGGTTTGTAAAAATGGTGCAACTTCCGTGATGTGGAACTGGTTTGGTGTTTGTCCGTCAGATACACAACAAAGCACATTTTTTTGCAGAACATGCAAGCGGCCGTCGTTATTGTCATATTTGTCGGACTAAGATGCTCTTAAATCTGGGAGTAATCTGGGTCCTAAACTCCGTATGCTTCAGGTCAAACAACACTGCAGCATCACTGAGTTAAAAACTGTCTAAATTCTTTCATCTTTAATAAAACGATCAGCATTGCTGCTTTACCAGGTGTAACTATAAGTTTAACTTCCAGGCATCCATGAAAACAAAATTTATTACATTTAACGGAGTTAGAAGTTAGCAGGAAGCTAGCGGAAGTTAGCTCGCTAGTTTCGCTAGTTACCTAAGCATGATATAGCATGTTCTGACTGAGAGATTTCTGAAAAAATTCAAACGTACAGCTCTGCTATCACTTCCAACATAAATGAAGACAGGAAACTAAACAGCAGTGACGTTTGTAGGGTTACTGAAGTTGGGCTAGCTGGTATATAATGATGTGCTACGTGATCGCTAGCGACACAGCTATGTTAGCATAACATAAACAGTGAAGCTGGAGGACGAACACTAACACTTTTCCACTTATAAAAGTTAACGTGAAGGTTCCATGGTTAGAGACAAATGCAATCGCATGGCAGGATGCTGTAAACGGACCAAACTTCAGTCAGGAGAACAACTGAGATAATCCATCCACAATACGAGGTTAGTCATTAATATACTGCAACAACATGGGAATAGAGCAGCTGCCAGAGAATTCAACATTAATGAATCAATGGTACGTCTGCAATCTTTACACGACAAGAGTACGACAACAAAAGCCAAGGAAAGAATGCTTTACTGCTTTACAGTCGGTCAGTGAATTTGAGTCCGAACCTGGGCTTTGTTTCGCTGACTATCTAATGTGGCTGGTTATAATCACCACACTGGCACTAGTGTTGTGGCGTTACGATGCTCGTGCGATCAGCTGATACGTACTGCAATCAGCTCGCACAGGGTCCCGCCCCTGACTATCTCTGATTGGGACACACGATAGGGGCACGATGTGTGTCAGCTGATGACCACACGGAGACTCAGAGTTGCGGACACACTCTAGAGCGCTGCTTAGGTCGTTCTACGAGCTCGAGTATACTGAACTTTTTACACATTGCTTCTGCATTTTGATTTTTATTAAATAAATCAATTTAAATTAATATGAGGTTATGTTTCTTTATAGTGATGAAAGTCAGTCTATGTCAAGCTTTTTCCCTAAGATGCATTTTATGCAAATACATTGTATAAATTGCATCTGTATTAATTATCATGACGACCTTTTTTTGGTCTCCATGTTAATTTAATTATTCTCAGCAAAGGGAATTAATTGGCAGGTTATTTTCTTTATAGTGATGAAAGTCAGTCTATGTCAAGCTTTTTCCCTAAGATGCATTTTATGCAAATACATTGTATAAATTGCATCTGTATTAATTATCATGAGATAATGAATGCAGGTAATATCTGTGGGCAGATATTACCTTATGTCTTACCCTGTTACCCTTGAATACAGAAAGAAAAATACAGTACCAGTTTCTGTTTCATTTTGGCTTTTATATCAAACAGTCAGCAATGTACAAAGACGTCTGTATAACGTAACCCACAAATGTGATGACTGTGGCTGTGTGTGAATGTACAAGCAGCAGCAGGATGTACAACTGTCTGTTTTTGGTTTGAGGGGACTCTGCATTGCCTAAAGAATGTACACTATACCTTGCTTGTACAAAAACAATAAAGAAGCTCAAATATTCTACTATTCAAAATATAAATATGAATAAAGAATTCTAGCCTCTGCCGTTTTGTGATAAATCTCATCTCTATCGCAAATTTTCAAATATATATCGTGATAAATATTTTTGGCCATATCGCCCTGCTCTACTTGGGATGAATTAAATTCAGCAGCAAATAATGTGTGCATACATACATAATATAATATACATAATATGCACACACACACACACACACACACACATATATATATGTGGTAGCAAGCGCTCTCTCCTATGCAGTGGTCACTGCAGGGCAGCTTAAATAATGGGAAAAAGGCAGAGATTTTGAGCATTTGTCCCATACAGGACACTGTAGTTCAAGCTTCTCATTTGTCCAGGCACCATCTTGGCTCAGTGTTTACTGTGTTTGCTTTGCAAGGCCCAGCAGCAGACTCGGAGTGGTTTATGCCGCAGTGTGTAAATGGTGCGGTCCAAGCCACAAATTGAACGCTTGTGTTCGATCACACAACGCAGAGTCCTGCACTGGTAGTTTTACATATACACACACTAATATATATATATATATATAAATTTTTTAATGTTTTCTCTTTATTTTTACTACTTTCTACGTTGTAGATACAAACTGAAGGCATCAAGTATTTGAAGCAAGATATATGGAATTATGTAGCAAAGAAATAACTAATAATTCTAAATATGTCTTATATTTTAGATTTCTGAAAGTAGCCCGCTTGTCAAGGTTCATTTGTGAATTTATTGCCTTCTTAATGATGTTGGGACCATCAGTTGTGTTGTATAGAAGTCAGGTTGGTGCACAGCTGACAGCCCTATTTGACAACTGTTAGAATTCATATTATGGCGAGAACCAATCTGCTAAGTAAAGAGAAACAACAGCCCATCATTGCTTTAAGAACTGAAGGTCAGTCAGTCTGGGAAATTGATAAAACTTTGAATGTGTCCCTGAGTGCAGTCACAAAAACCATCAAGCGCTACGTTAAAACTGTCTCACATGTCTCACGTCTCAAAGAACATGGCACACCTGTTACCCTTCAGACACTTTCTTCTGAAGCGTTCTTTAGGAGCTGCCCGACAGACGACTAGTGTCGGAGTATCGACTTTTCTGGAGTGCCTGTAAATCTGCCAGCCTGCCTACTGGAGCCTGTGGATTATTTTCGCTGGTGACTGTACGGAGTTTTGTTTCCTCACCAGGATTTTCGTCTGTCTGTTTCTCCCGGTCGCCTCGTTTGGTTTGTTTCCCTTCTGGAGGTTTTTGGCAAACAGTACCAAGTAAGCTCTCCAACTCTCGGTAAAGTCTCTTTTATGCTTTTCTCAGTTTCGGGCAAGACCCTCCTAATTCTCCTGTTCCACTCAGATCGAGTGCACTACCGGTGTGCGTCTCCTCACCTGCACATCCCGGCTCCACATTCACATTTTATTGTATATACAGTGTCCCTGAAAATGCATCCCCTTCACTGTAAACAAATTGTTTCAACTCTGTGCCTCTGTGCGTTCTGCTCTCTGAGTCCACCGCTATTTTTCATAACACTGGAGGATACATTCATTCAAATCAGCCTCAGAAATAACAAGTTAACAGCATGCCTACCACAGCATGCTGCAGCAACATGTCATCCCATCAGGTTTGCATTTAGTTTATTTTTCAACAGCACAATGAGTCCAAACACACTTCCAGGCTGTGTAAGAGCTATCTGACCAAGAAGGAGAGTGATGGAGTGCTGACCAGATGATCTGGCCTCCACAGTCACCTGACCTAAATCCAGTGGAGATGGTTTGTGATGAGATGGAGCTCAGAGTGAAGGCAAAAGGCCCAACAAGTGCTCAGCATCTCTGTGAACTCCTTCAAGACTGTTGGAAACAATTTCAGGTGACGACCTCATGAAGCTCAGAGAGAGACAGCCAAGAGTGAGCAAAGCAGGAATCAAAGCAAAGGGTGGATGTTTAGAAGAATCTAAAATATCAAACATGTTTTGAGATATTTCACACTTTTTTGTTTACTACATAATTCCACATGTGTTCATTCATAGTGTCGATGCCTTCAATGAGAATCTACAATGTAAATAGTCATGAAAATAAAGACAAATCACTAAATGAGAAGGTGTGCCCAAACTTTTTGATGATAGTGTATATTGTACATTATTAGATGTGCACAATAAGGCTTGTAAGACAGCTCAAACTCATCCTGTCTATCTGCCTATTAATGGGCTATTACTACATGCCTTCATGTTGGCAGTAAAACCATCATAATGCCTGTGAGAAGTCACTATGATCCCTGAAAAGGGTGAAGGCCAGCAGCAAAACTGCAGCCTATGACCTGGGACATCATTTTTAAAACCTATGTGTGAAAGGACCGTGACACACTGGCTGCTTTTATGTCCTTTTTATTTATGACACACAGTTTTTTTGGTTTTGCAGCTTCTCCGTTGCACTTCACCACACTTTCTGAAGGGAAAAAGCTACAGGATCAGCCCAGCAGCTCTCCCAGAAAGGCAGGTGAGGGAGGAGGGAGGTGCAGGAGGTGGAAGGCCTACTGTTTTAGAGTCGGGTTTCCACCTGACACAGCCTCTCATTTCTCACTGAAAGTATCAAAATGCTGCAGTTAATGCATGGGTCACACAAAGCATCTCTCAGGTGATCTACTCCAAAACAGCTGGGGTATAAATCATGGACAAAGCTTAGGTTTTCAAATAAATTAAAACCCTGTCTGAGTCTTCGGTTGATTAATAAGCTGGAGTGAAAGATTGCTGCCTCGACACCTTCTCCTCGGCCTGTGCTTTAAGGAGACTATTCCTATGACTCAGCGGTGTTGATTCATTTAAATTAACATAATCATCCTGCTGTAACCCAGTTTCTGTAGGCAGAGAATCCATTTGTTTATCAATTATTAATTTATGTCCAGGGACTTAGAAGAGAATGAGCTAATCGCCATTTCACTGTTTTACTCTTTGGTGCAGTGGTAGACAGTGTTGGTCAAGTTACTTGAAAAAAGTAATCAGTAACTAATTACCGATTACTCCCCCCAAAAAGTAATCCTGTTACTTTACTGATTACTTATTTTCAAAAGTAATTAATTACTTAGTTACTTTTTAAAAACACGATTTACAACCTGAATAGGTGATAAAGCGATAGATCTTTCAGCCCAATTCTACTTTTTCTGCATAATCCATCATACAAAATGTAATCAAATGGAAAAGTCTCTTTTTAAAACTTGTTTTATTAGTTTTAATCTTTTAACTTTATGCATCAAGCAAACATTTAATTATCTGCAACATTCTCTGACTGGAAGAAATTAGTTTAACATTTAAACCTATTTTCTGCACATTCCAGCACATAAAATAAAATATTTTTTGTGTTTACACTCAGTCTTTCAAATAGATGCAAGTAAAACACAGCAGAAAATAAATAAAGTCAAAGACTCAGCGGTCCTGTTGCTCTATTTTCACCTGTAAAGCAGGAGTGGGTAGGCGGAGGTTTACCCTGGTGCAGGTGTGCCGCGGTCAGTGGAAGAATCCGCGAGTTTCTCTGTGAGTTTCCCATTACGTCGTAGCTACTCGGTGCTTGTTGGAAGTTTAGGGGTTTTTTCGCTGTAAAAAGAAGTTTTCTTCCCACGCACAGCGGACACTAATGTTTTTGTCACTTTTTATGGAATCAAACTCAAAGTAAGGTCAGTACTTCCACGCTTTAAACGCTGCACGCTCATACTCTCTCTGCACTCGATATGTGATCCATTGTTGATCTGCACACAGCTGTTGTCACGAACGTCGCACTCGCTTACGTCACTGTCGTGAGACATTCTCGCAAAAAAATCACGGTTTTAGTAACGCAGTAACGCAGCATTCCTACGGGAAAGTAACGGTAATCCCTTACTTTACTCGTTACCTAAAAAAAGTAATCAGATTACAGTAACGCATTACAGTAACGCATTACAAGTAACGCGTTACTGCCCATCTCTGGTGGTAGATACTATATAGTTCCTTCTGTGTGATTTTTTATGTTAGGTTTGTTTTTTGGTGGTCTGGGAGCTGACACGGTCTCTCAGAGGATGGGGTTTTATGGACATAACAAGAGAAGCTGCAAAGAGGTGTGTAAGACTGGAGCTCCTGGTCCCAACTGTGGATAGTCATGTTTTAATAAATTTGATCAGATTTATAGAAACGAGAGCTGCTCAGTCCAATGTTGTATTGATGCTCTACCTTCAGCTGCACCGACTACAGGGCCCTTGCTAGCTGTAGGTTTTTCATAGGTGTGAAGCTGACTCTCCAATTCCGTGATCCTTGCCTCTAGAACTGTAAACAGGTTACATTCATTACAAATATAGTTATTACTAAATGAGGCTGAAGAGTAACTAAACATCTGACACAATGTCAAGGGACCGCTGAAGAGGCTAATGCTGCAAGTAAGTCGGCTACAAGCTAAGCTAGCGAGTCTCTAGCATCACAGTGACTTACTACTGTGAATGTAATTAGCAGGTAAGAAACACAACTAAACAAGTTCATCTGACCAATGAAACCGGGAGAGAACTTTCAAAGAGCATCTTCAAGCACAAGATAAATCCCAACATTTGTAAAGATAAGCTGCTTCAACAGACGTCATTGCAGCTTTTACGTGTCACCAGGTATTAGACCCCTAAGTTCCAGGAAAGCTCTGAATGCTGTGAAGTTGTACTGGATACACCTCTGCCCCAAATTGGGGGTAGTTCCTCTGGACTGGCAGATGTGGAGATGGTCTCTCTTATATATGAAATGCTTGCTCTAACTTCAGCAGATCATACTCAGTCTTCCTATGAAGGCCTATGCCCTTCATAGGGGAGAATGTGTCCCTTTGTCAAAACTCAGTTCAGAAGGAGCAACTTCTGTCTAGTCCTGGGACACTTGCACAACTGGTCTGTACGTGCGCTGTGGTCTTGGTGCAGACTCATAATCATGTTGCTGGCATGTTCTGTGGTTAGTTTGGGAGCATAGATTATAAATCCTGTTGCTTCAGACTATTTGGTCCCTGTACAGCTGTAACATCAGCATGGTTGCTTTGCTAGAGTCAGACTCTTTCCCTGTGAATGCCAAGGTTGTATTTTGTCGCCAATTCTGTTCATAATTTTAATGGAGAATATAATAGAGAGCAGCCAAGAATGAGGAGATTTCTGGTTCTGTGGCTTCAGGATCTTACTTTTCTTTGCAAATGATGTGGTCCTGCTGGTCTTATCATTTGGTGACCTTCAGCTTATTTGCAGCCAAATTCAGTGCAGGGAGATGGGAATTAACACCTCTGTTTTTGAGGCAAAGATTCTTGGCAAGCAGTGGGTGGAGAACACGCTCAGGTAGGGGATGGGTTGTTGTATCTCATGGAATTACACATGAGTGGAGGAAGTGTGGAGATGGAGAGACTGAATGGTGCACAGAGTGCTGAGCATGAAGCCAAATGAGATTGGAGAGCTGGAAATGAGCCTCCACCAATGGGTGCACATACCATACATACCTTTATAATGCTTTGGCAGGTGGACAGTGGCAGTCCCACCAAACTGGTTCCATTGATTGACATGATCTGGTCTCCTATGTTCAGTCTGCCAGACCTCTCAGCTGGCCCAGCATGCATCATGTTGGCAATAATGACTGTAGGTAGGATGGAGCCCCATCCACTCTCCACGATGACCACGCCCAGAATCTCCCCCTTAGCTTTCTCTACAAACACCTGTGGTCACAGCAGGCAGTCGACAGGCAGAGAGAAACAAAAACAAATCATTTTAAATTACGTTTCATTGGAATTCATTTGTCTGAACTATCATGAAAAAGGATGCCATATTAATTTGTCATTCTAATCTCTACTACATATTCAGCAGTACAGACGTGATTATGCCAACCTGTGGATGGAAAGCAGAATAAAAAATACTGTTATGAAACCAGAAATGTTTGAAAATACATGCAGCCTTCTCACGTTTTTGCAGTTCTCAGATTTGGAGAAGTGCACGAGGTCATCATTGTACATGTCCTGAGTGTTCAGCAGGTCACTGTATTCCTTTTGGCTAAGGTCCTCAGGGTTAATGCCATTGGCCCGTAAGAATTCTTGATAGGCCACACTAAAGGCCTGTCCGATCGACTGGGCAATTAACTGGGCCTAGAGGACATGGCAGAGTTAGAAGATATTGGAAAAAAAGTTTTCAAAGACAGAAGTATGTTGTTGGACTCACATCCTCAGACTCAAACACATGGCAGATCATCTTATACTGGCGCTTGCTGTCTTGACTTGGCTCTGAGGTTTCCACGTTCTCCTCAGAATCAGTGCGAGGCATCCTGCGCCGGGCCATCAGAACCACTATGTTGCCAATGTCAGCAATGTAGGAGATAGTCCGCAAAGGGTGGTCCATCATAGTTTCCTTAAAGGCATAGAAACATTTACAGCCCTCCTCATGTGTACAAGACGCAGATTTTCTGCATTTGTTGTAAGTACTTTAGAATCTAACAATATATGTTATTGCATTTAAACCACATAAACAGTGGGTGTAGGAAAGTGAGGTAACGTTTGCAAACCATATAAAAATGATAGATAAACGATATACATGAGCTTATTGCTTTGTCCACTGTTATGCATCACAGTAATATGAGGCGCCAAACATGTCAACTGTTGCAAAACAACCACATCTTTGATTCATCTGTTCAGAGAACATTATTACCAATGATCTAACATACGGACCATTAATCTGATGTTAACACAGATGTTACCACAACACTACACAAACTGCAGAATATGCAAACGGTAATATAGATGAAAGGGAAACGTGTGCCTGCAGTGTGAGTGGGTACCTGAGAATCAGCGTTGAGCACTTTTATTCTCTGGGTAGAGATGAAAAGATCCACCTCTGTGAGAGGCTGAGGCTCACCCTCAGGTTCCTACACAAACACAGTCAGAAAGCAGCATTAGACACGGTGACATGTCTCAAAACAGCACAGCACACGCGTTTAGGCAAACATGACCAAACAGCTAAAGTGGTCAGTAAAAGCAGAGAAGTGCACTGCCTTCAGTTCTGGGTTTAAACTGGTCACAAACCGGCTGTGTGCAGGCAGGAATAGGACCCAAACACTAACTCACAGAAGAAAACGTGAACGCAAAGTAACACAGCTTTATTGCTGAATGCAAACCAATACAAAACTAAACCGGGAAATTCTAACAATAATATGGTCCAGGAAGTACGGAGAGCCACGAGGGACACGGAGCAACACGTGACTGAGGGAGACGCTGACATAAATACACAGATAACGAGGGACGTGGGAGCACACGGGGAACACAGCTGACACGAATAATCATAACAAGACAGGGGAAGCCAGACTGAACACAGTGAACATGAAAACACGGGACCTTCACAATAAAAAAGGACACATGATGCAGGAGAGGCAGACGCGAGGGAGCCTAAATGTACAAAGGTTAACACAGAATAAACTCAGGATACCACTAAGAATAATGGACCATAACACAACAGAAACACAAGGGACTCAAAACGCTTCAAAAGGACCCCGAACCATGACAAAACTGAGCAATCATTAATATTTATTAATCGTTTTAGTTTCACGACACAAATTAGGTTCCTGCACTTGCCAAATCTCACTGATTTTATTAGATTAAATTAATAAATAAGCCTGTGCTCATCCTGCAGTATAATTAAACTCCACAAACTACAAACTACAACAAATCACATGAGTTATTTTTGTCCCATCTAAGAAAAAACGAGGGCATATACTCTGCTGCCAAAAATATTTGCCCCTTCATGATTTTTTGGTTTTTGAATATTATTTGTTTTATTTATGTTTTATCGATAAAACGTTAATTTTAACCAGTGATAAACAACATAAATGCAAAATGCAGTTTTTAAATGATGTTTCCTTTAAGATCATGAAGTAATCCAGGTCTGGTCCTATGTGGAAAAGTCATTTTCCCTTAAATCTAATAACTGTTGTTCCACCCACAGCAGCAAGAACTGCAATCAAGCATTTACAGCGTGTCTTTTGTATCACGCAAAGATTGGCCCAGCCTTCTTTGCATCTTTATTTGGTTTCTGAGCATGAAAAGCCTGTTTAAAGTCAGACCAAAGCATCTCTTCTTCTTGGTGTATTTTGGTTCATTGTCTTGTGATCGTTGCTCCACCTGAGCTCACAAACTCTTGGCTGGACATTTTCATTCTGTTAACAGGGCAGAATTCATGGTTCCATCAATTACTGCAAGTCATCCGGGTCCTAAAGCAGCAAAGAATCCAGAGGCTTTCACACCAACAATGCCTGCAGTTTGCAGTGGTTTCTTCTTGAAATTCTCCCATGAATATCACGGCGCACAGTCTCGTGCTGTTGAATGTTGTTTTGGGTTTTTGTGCCCTCCTGCTTGATGTGCTCATGGAGTTTTTTTCTATTTGTGGATGATGTCTGTTGTTTGCTGGAGTTACTACACTTTTATTCATATCCTTAATCCTCCTGCTGCACATCATTTGGACCTAAATCTTTCTGTCAAGCCAACTGACACAAGTCATTTTTGAGTGAGTGGATCTAACCAGCATCATCAACTTAAATTAAACTGATGTTCTCAAGCAAGTTGATACTTCATGTTGCCCTCCACACCGTCTAGTCTCACATTCAGCTCATGACAAGCCTTTTCTAGTGCTTTTGCCTCCTTTGTCTTTATTCTAGACTCTAACTACTCCTGACTATTCATCTTTGTCAGCCTCGTCCTCTAAATACTTTCCAGTACTTCCTCCTTCCACCACCAAGTCTCGCCTTCTTTGCTACCTTTTCTCATCTACTTAATGTCTAAGTTCATTTGTTATTTGCTATTTTAATGAACAATAAAAAGAATCATAAAAGCACGTCTAAAAGAACAATGAATCCATTAACAGACAGTAAAAAATAGAAAGTGGACTTGCAGAAATAAAGCTAAGCACTTCTTTGCAAGACACAGAAGGTTCTGAACTCTGAAGAGAAAACGGAAATCAAGAGGTGAACCTTCTGTGAAGATACAGTGGTTTTCAGACATGTTGAAATTCAAGGAAAAAACAGTTCGAGACGTCAAATATTTGTCCAAAAAAAAGAAAAAGTGCTTTGGATGTTTTTAACATCCAAAGCATCAGTCAAAAAGCTGCAAAAGAAGAAGTCTTTGTGAAACATGTTTAGGAAAACAAAGTTTTACAGGAAGATCAGGAAGAGAGAGAGAAGTGCAGTGACGAGCATGGGGAGAGTGTAAAAACTCAAAAAACACTGAGTCAACGGAAGGAACAAATGAAGCTACATCAAACAGATCAGTGCATGGACACCATGTACTCCTCTACAGTTGTCCCAGTATGGATATCTACATCAAGTGACCCAGAGAATGAAATCCTCGTTTATGCACTACATGATGACCAAAGCGTTACCACATTCATCATGCGAGAGGCATCTGGGAACAAAACGAGAGCCAGTGGAGTTAAAGCTCTCCACACTTTCATCCAGAAACACGATCATCCCAAGTCAGAGCTGAGCTGCACTGCAGGTGAGAGGTTTCTGCTCGTCAAAGGTTTCTCTCCCTGTAACCTACTCAGTGCAGTTCATTCCTGCCAAAGTCACATTCCTACACCTCTGGGAAACAGTGGTCTCGACTATGCATCCATCGGAGTGTGAATGTTAGCCAAGCAGCACTGAAGTATAGAAGAAAGTGCTTGTATGAATGGGTGTGAATGAGGCATGAGGCAATACTGTTGCTGTCTAATGTTAAGTACATTCAATATATGCTCCGTTCAGGACAAAGACTGGGACCAAATGTTAAATTATAATGTTTCTAGTTCAACATTATGCAGGTCATCTATTGTGCGACCTGCAGTCAGGTTGTTGACTCCTAAAAAGAGACACAGAGCACATACCACAGATCATAGTTGTGGCCACGTGCTCTTTAGCTGCCATGATGCCAGGTCTCTCTCTGGATAAATAATAACTAACTAATAACAGGGCCTACAAGGCCAAACCCCACAAACCCCAAACGTGTCAGAAGATTCAGACTGTTACCTGCATCGAACACGTGGATTTCTTACATGACAAAAACTTTTCTATTTTACCAAGAATGAGATTTTCCAGGTTACATAGACAGTCCAACGTGTCCAATGTCCAACATAAGACATGCAACGTTGGCATTTAGGTTCAGCAAAACAATAATTCATCAGAATGACATTTTAAAAGTATCAAAGGACAACGATAATCATGTAGACACTGAACAGGACAGAGAGTAAAACACATGAAAAGCTGCACTCAGCAGTGATAAGGACAAGACAGACATGTAGGTACTGCACCTTCTTCTTGTTCTGGGCCAATTTCTGAGCCATCTGCCAAGCATGGAATAAAGCACACAGGACAATCACGGGTTAGGTCAATACACAGTAAAACATGGATTTGTGTATTAAATAACTGTCAATGGTGCGCCAAAAGGCTAATGCTCCAGCCTTTCAACAACCTCTATATATATACAGAATATTAATGATTAAGAAACAAGGCTTGTCTAAGTCACCCAGGCTTGTAAGCAGCACAGTAAAATTGATTTAATGCAGTCGGTTCCCTAGATTTCCCAATGCATGCTAACCATGTGCAATGGAAAATATCCATATGAAGATTTTACTGTTTATTTGTGGATAATGAATTGGATGCATAATATTTATTCCCTGTATATAGTAAATAATACACCTCATGTAGTGTGAACTTCCACAGCCCACATGCTTTATTTATAGTGCCTTTTGTGTGCACCAGTAGTCGAGCAGCTCTTGAGCCACTTTGGCGGGCTCACACTCCAGCACTTGCTCTGTCCACTCTTCTCCCTGTAAGATCCCAGCACCCAACTCAAACAGGGGAGACATGATGAGATGATGGAGATCAGCCTCCCCTGACACCACACCCTGAACCCGCTGCTCAACCCCTCCCCTGCAGTCGAGCCATAAACCACACCCTGCCACGTACCCCCATCACTTGACATAGAGCGGGGAGCCGAGGTTAAATCTTACTGCACGTCTGTCATTCTCCTTTGCAGATGTCTTCGTGCAGTCATGTCCATGTCTTTGTCACATCCATGCTATTAGTTGCTTATCAATCACTTCAAATGCTTGCAGCCTAATCTACGGTCCTGCCATCATCACCGTCCTGGAAACACTCAGATGAAAGCCACAGCAAAAGCAGTTCTCTTGTCAGCAAGGGCAATCTAGCTCTGGCTTTAGCGCTGGGCAGTTGCAGTTGTTTCCATTCTCTCATCCGCAAACCTTAACATGCCCCCATCAGCCAGTTTTGCCACCGGGAGCAGGCGATAGCCTGCTTCAGCAACAGCACGCAAATTTCTCCCGTTTGTGTCTTTAATATTCGCACAACTCCCCCTGGCTTCTGCTCCGCGGCTGCTGAGTGAGCCCTCATCTGGGACTCTCCTCAGCTCTTTCCGGGACAGTGGCGCAGCTGCCCCTCTGTTGGTCTTCCTTGGTCTCTTGTGTTCTGGGGGCCTCTGGATGTCTGGAGTTTTGATCTCCTCCATACCTGCTTCATGCCCTGGAGGACGGGGCTGTGGCCCCCCCACACCCTCTAGCAGATCATTACATGAAGGAACCTTTTAAAAAACAAAAAACAAGCGCGTCCATGCTCACAGGTGTACACACGGGTGATCACACCCACAAACTACACCCTTTTTGGCTCCTACCTCAAAGCACACTGTGTTCTGTTGATCTTATGTGCTGCACAATAATGTTTAATATTTAGTATTTACTGTCATATTCCCATATATCATTGTGATGTTGTTTATTCTATTACTCTTGTTCTCTTCTGCTTGTTTTCTTTTTTCTTTCTCAGCAGGTGACCCAGGTGATTGATATATGCATTTTTTTTTCTGCTCACTCTGTTGGTTTTTGTCTTTTGCCCTTCTCCCCCGTCCCTCTTCTCAGCTGTTTCTCTTTCCCTCTTTCTTTCTCCCCTTCTTTCCCCCAGTAAAGTCTGTCCCATATTCAGTAAGTGAAAATAAAATAAACAATAAAAGGTGAATCAAATGGACCATTACGGCAAGGCTGGGATGGTCAGTTTGGTAAAGTAAATCCGTTGGGCATCTTTCTTTGCCTTTAGACAACAATTCTGATGCAAAAGAGCCAAACGGGACAGGCAAAAAAATAAAAAAAGAAAAAAGAATATTCGCACAAGTGTCGAAGAATCAGAAAGGTAAAGTCCAGTTTAAGATGTCATGGGTAAAATGAAGGGAATGGGGACGAGTTGTTGCAGTCCCTTCATTTTACCCCGAGCACTCGGCTATGACGAACCTCTTATCTCTTGCTGTTTTGCAATCATCTTACTTTTAGCTGAAATTTTCTTTTGTTAACACTAAATCCAGACTCCATATATTTCAGATCATACTGACAGTCCCTGTTAACGAGCTCACATTCCCAGACTAATCAGCCCATTTATTTCAGCAGCCCAATCATTCAATCAGTCATGTGTGGTAATATTATTTAAGCCTGTGTGACCAAATCAACTTCTAGCAGTTATAAAATTCATTCTCTCACCTGCAGAGTGGTTTTAACTGCATGCACTCAGCATTTGCTTATTCCCCATTGGTTTAAAGCTGATCAGTTTCTTTAAAGCATAACCCAACTGAAAACTATAAATGTTTTTAGCTCTAACACTCATACCGTCACAGTCCTGGGTCAGTCAGTTTGAGTTTTGCATTATTACTGAACTTTGATTTTGTCAGCATTTATCATTTCTAGTCTTTTGGTTTCTGTGTCAGTGTTCTTTGTATTCTTGCCCTGAGTCTGTGGACGCAGTGATTTGGGGTTTGGTGTATTATTATTATTATTATTATTATCATTTGTGCACTCAAGTTCTAGCTTTGGGATGGTTTGTGTTCTGGTTCTGGGATTCTGGGCTGGTGCTCCCTAGTGATGGGACGTTCTGTATCGAGGCTTCGAAGCTTGTGTCGAGTAATGGAGGGGGCGTTTCCGCGATGCGCGTATCGAGGCTTGCTTCATTTATGGGAGGAGCTGAAAATGATGACGTCCGAAGCCTCGCTGCCCGGCTGTACCACGTGACTGGTTCATGAAGTGGTTCGAACTTTGCCGCGAGATATGACAGATATAAACCCCTCAGACTTCATTCAAAAATGTGGGTGTTTGATGGAGAGTTGCGGTTAGTGAGAGTTTGGAGACAGTTTGGAGGTTTATGAGAGTGAGGAGAGAAAGTCAGGAGAGAATGGAGCCAGCTAAGAAGAGGAGGACGTCCTCCCCTGTGTGGGGACATTTTGATCTTATTCCTCCCAACAAGGTATGTAAATTTCTACAGAAGATGTATTTTCATGATACTGATGGTGCAATAAAACCTATGTTAAGCTGTCTTGACTTTTGTACAAGGTGAAGTGTTTGCTATGTGCCAGGGAGCTGGG